AAACTCCTGTGTGTATAGCCCTTGTCCGCAGTAGTGTGGTAGTAGCTTGTGAGATGGAGTATATAGGCTATTCCATGATTTACCACATAGTCAAATAATGTGGGATACGTGCTCTCAAATTACGAGTCTTGCTGATTTAACAGCACCATTTTACCAAGAAGACTGTTATCAGTTCCTTGCCAGCTGGTGAAACACTGGAAAGAGCCTGTCTGGAATGAGATATCTGTTCGAAGAGTTTGGAAATGCAGTGGAAATGGACTAACCAAACATAAGTTTTTAAACAAGTACAGAAGAGAAAAACTGAGACAAGAAAATACAGTCCAGGTGGAAGTGTGTGATAAGATTAGTGGGCTAATCCTTCCCGTGCTCATTTAGCTAGGAAAATGGACTCTCCTGTCTTGGTTTATTATTGCTTGAAGTTCTGTTAAACACTGCTAATACTTTTGCTTTCTGGACAGATGCAAGCTGGAGGCAACATCTGTCACCAGGCAGCAACAAACCTATTAAAAGATGAATACCCTGACTGTATGCTAGGGATTTTGTGGGCTCAGCTCTCACCACATCTTACATATAGTTCCCTCCCAGCCCATTTTTCATGGAAGTTTGTAGAGTCCATTGATGGCTAGAGTACCTGTGGGATTTTTGGACATGGTTAGATGTGTTGATCAAGGGTTAGCGTGCTAGGAACTGACATAAATACTACCTGAAGAGATGGATTTTCCATTTTTCACCTAGACCAAACTCAGTTGTGATTTTTTTAAGGGAGTGCAGGAAATCAACTAAGGCTTTTCAGCTTATGTGCTAATAAACTGAGTAATTGAGATTCTATCCTGTAGTTGATATCATCATTCCAACGTATTGAAAAAGTCTGACATCTTGTTGTTTTGGCATCTTGTCCCTACTGTGTTTTGGAAGACTGTGTATGCATCATGCGTGAAAGAGTATTTACAACTTGAGCTAGGAGCTAATTAATCATATATTCTGGTCTCATTGCGTGTTGACTGGGGAATGGAGAGAAAATAAACTGTCACTAATTTCCTAAGAATATGTAAGGCAACCTGCTCTTTTTAGAATGTTAAAATTCTTCCTAGCTTTTGCAGTGAGGCAGTGAGCTTCTAGGGTGTTTTCATCAACTTGGAGACATTTTTGTAGAATCATAGAATATCCTGAGTTGGAAGGGACCTACAAGGATCATTGAGGTCCAACTCCTGGCCCTGCACAGAACACCTCAAGAATCATACCATGTTGTTGTCCAAACACTTCCTGAATTCTGTCAGGCTTGGTGCTGTGACCACTTCCCTGGGGAGCCTGTTCCAGTATCCAACCGCCCTATGGGTAAAGAACCTTTTCCTCGATCTCCCCTGACACAGCTTCATGGCGCTCTGGTCACCACAGAGGAGAGATCAGTTCCTGCCCCTACCCCTCCCCTTATGAGGAAGCTACAGATTGCAATGAGGTCTCCTCTTGGTCTTCTGTCCTCCAGGCTGAACAAGCCAGGTGACCTCAGCTGTTCTTCATACTGCTTCCCCTCATCCCATCACCATGAGTGGCCCAGATTAGAAAGATGTGGAGGCAAAAATGTTGGTGCCCTGCCATGATCCTCTTTAGCTGTTCCCCGGTGAGAAAGTAATTGGAGTTGCAGGAGAAGAAAGAGAAAAGGAGAGAATGCTTAGGCAATAATAGTTTTTCTTACTTTAAAACTTAGAGAAATGGGCAAAACACTAGGAGAGCCAAAAACTAGATTTTACTCCCCGCAGTGCTTGAGTCTGTTGTTTTTTAATTTAAGTGACTCTTAATTTAAGATATGTAACAGTTCCCAGAATGGGGGCCAGGGCCCTAAGCTAATGCAGGACTTTCTTTTGGAGTGAGTTTGAATGCATCACACTGAAGAGGGCATAGTACTCTTTGGTGCATTTGAAATGCAAATTCAGCAAAGGCCAGAAAATTAGCTGCAGCCCTAGACAGCTGCCTAATTCTTAGCTTAGCCCAGCTCTGTCCGGGACCATTCCACCTCTGGGCTTTTGCACAGATCAACCAAAGAAGGGTTTTTAGCTCTAGCATGGAGAGTGGGAACTGCTTGGTGCTGCTTGCACTTAGGACCTGTGGCAGTTTGAGCCACATTAGAAATCCGAAATCCAATTTCCAGGCTTCCCCCACCCCTTCCCATGATTTTTATCCCAGCACCGAAGAGAGAACTTTCAGGCGGAGGCCTCTATGGGGGAAAGGGGAAGTAATATACATTTATTTACACAAATAAATACTATACAAGCTAAAAGCAACTATATTATATATATTACACTTCTATCAGTCCCTTTAAGCCTCTCCCTTTAACTTTAGTCCAGGAAAAGCTTTTCAAGGCTGATAGGTAACGCAGTCTCTCTCTCTCATGGGAGTGTTCAGGGAACCTGAAACACTCCCCCACCAACCTTCAGTTGTTTGCTGCAGTCTTTTCTTCTTCATGAAGGCCCAGATAGCTCTGAGTCCTTTCTCTTTGGTTCTGTGCCATCTCTGTTGCATGGTTCTCTCTTACGCTTTCATACCTCGGTTCGCTGCTGCTGTAGTGTAGTCAGCTTATCAAGCATCCTTCAAGTCAGTTTTCGGCTGCCCCTGGTCAAACCTCGGCAGGGTAACTCCGGAGCCTCTCTTTCTGGCCCGTCTCCAATTTCGCCTGGGATTCTTCTCCCTGGCACCGAGCTGCTTCGTTATCAGCCCGTCTCTTGGCTCAGCCTTGCATCCACTCCCACTTAACAGTGAGAGGGAAAAAAGCCCCCTAGCCTTGGCCACAGGCAGCTCGGTCCAGTTATACACTGTCCCAAGTGCCCCACAGCCCAGCTGCAGGGGTGGGAAAGAGGGCCTAGCCTCCTCCCTCTTACCTCAGGTGTTGTGAGTCGCGTCCCTCACAAACACTCACTCCAAACGCTGCCTCCAACCCTGGCTTAGGCAGGGCTGTGGGCCGCAGGGCCTCCTCTCCCCCCTGATGGGGAAAAGAAGGAGGCCCTGCCACCCCTTTGGCCTTCTCACCCTCACACAGCAGCAGACACAGACAGAATTGCCAACAACTTCTGGCAGTTGTGTATATATGATTTTTCGGCAGAAACAAATAAGACGAGCAGTGATTGGCCCTCCAGGGAACACTGCCCTGGCACCCAATCACCTCTGAGCCCCCCGGCTCTCGGGAGGGCCAATCTCAACCTATGACAGGACCAGAGATGAATTCTTGTTCATCTTTTATATGGCAGTACTGCTGTTGCCTGTCTCCCACTTTCTGGCAAGCCATTGGCGCACTCTGTTGTTGCATAAAATGTGGGAACAATAACCAGCTTACTATCTTTTGCCAATATTTTAGGGAAAAAATGGGACTCTGATTATTTATACTTCAGAAGCAACATAAAGACCCATATTCAGGCATGTGTGTCAGGTTGTGAATCCCAGTCTTGGCAAGTCAAGCCCTTCAATTTGGGAGGAAATCAGCTATAATCCTTTCTTTACTGCTTGCTGTTTGTTACTGTAGGTGATTCTCCTCTGGCTGCTATAAATCTAGTCCTAAACGTGTAACCTTTCCCATGGATTGTGTGAGTCATGTCAGGACCTGGGGATTCTCAGTCCTGTGAGATGAGCAAGTAGCATCAGGGTGTGCTGAAAGAAAATGGCTTTTGAGTGCAAAACTACAGTCACTGCTAACTGAAAGGAGAGCTACTGTGTGTATGGAAGGAGTTTTAGTTACCTCTTAATTTGGACAAGCGGCTTCTTCAGCATTTCCCTTTCTGGTTCCAGCATTTGTCTTCCAAAGTGTTTGACTCCTTCTGCAGTGCTGTAGACTGGGTCGTCTTGGATAGAGTAGGACAAGGGGCAGATCTACAAGAGAGTTTTTAGAGTTGGATCTTTTTTGTGATCTCTGTACTTTATACATCTTATTTTTGCGAAAAGCACAAACACAAGAAACAGTTCCAAAACTTGGCCTCAGTTCATGGAAAGGGAATGTAATCAGAGTGCTGTGGCAAAACTTACCCCCCTGTGCAGCAGTCTTACTCCAGTAATCCTCTCCATCCTCATGCGTGCACTACAGTGTCTGTTGAGCACTGGAGATGGTGTTATCTTCAGCAACAGTCATGGAAAAAAACATCATTTGACTAGAATAATTTTAGTTTCATGGTACTTCTGAACTCATTTATGTAGCCCAGATTGTCTCTTGAAAAAAATAATCATCAGGTTTTTTACCAGTCTACAGCTCAGTTTCTTGGGGTTTGGGTGTTGTGCTGTTTTTTTGTGTGACTGCTGCTGCCTTGGTGCTCACCCATTCCTGACTGCAAACTAGTTTTCACTTTTGATTTTCACCAGAAAGTACACAGGGCATGCCCTGCAATTTAATTCAAGCCTGTGGCTGCAGAAAGATAGATAAGACAGGCAGATCATAGTAAGAGACCAGTAAATAAACTGTCCAGATGCTCTAGGTTTGGCGAAATCCAGAGCAAGAAATGCTTGAGACCTCTCAAACCTTGGAAAGGTGCCAGGTTCTGCAGCCATGTAGTCAGGGAATGCAGAAAGAGCCCACTGGCATGAATCTGTCATTTTGTACCTCCAACAAATACTGTTTCAGGCTGCTTGAAAGCTCAGGAAGATCATCACCCCTACAAGTGTTTCTCACTGCTAGTTCTGCAGGCAAATGTGCTGAAGATTTAATTTCAGTAAATCAACCATGGTAGCTGGGATGGAGTTCTACACTGAGCTTGAATTCCATAGGTCCCAACAAAGTAATGTATGGTTATAACAAAAGAAAAAACAGTCAAGGAATATTAATTAAATGCAAATTGTCCAGGTACCTGATCTATGGAAAAGCAGCAGAGCCTAATTAATAAACGCAAACACATTAGAGGCTGCTTTGTGAACACACAGTCAGCCTTACCACAGCAGGCCTGTGTTGTTAATTTTAAGGACCTTAGGCACTTAGAAAGTATCTGAAGTAACTGAGAACTAAAAGACTTCTTTTCTTGTTTTTTTAGGTGATACTGTCACTATTGGAGATGTGTCTTTAAAACTCAAAACACCGAAGAACCCAGAACTTGTTCCACAGAACTACAGTAAGAATCTACTTTCTTTTTGAATGAGGTTCAAGACTTTATTCAGAAAACTTCTACTCACTCAATCACCCCACAGACTTTACTGAAATTATCTAAGAAATGTATTTTGAAAAAGCGGGAAATTTGGAGAAGGCTGTCTTTGCTGAGTATATCTCTGGTCAGCTGATTGTATAGGAATCTCTTAACTTTGAATGTAACTTGTTCCACTGGTCAGTGGGATAGTAAAAGGATCATTTGTGTATGTTTAATTATTTTGTTGAAAAGGGTTCCTATCCAGAAATTACTTCTAAAAATAATCTCAAATTGTTTGGTCATAAAACTGTGGCAGTTTAGAATTATCATTCAATTGCAGTATGATTATATGTCCTAGGAGTTTGGCAGATGTATGGTGTTTTTCTACTGTGATATTTAGTATTCCCAGATTGTCATGTCATTGTTGTCAGCAAACATACAGATCTTTGCAATCCATCAAGTTAATGAGAAGTCAATTGCATAGTGATGAAAAATGCTGTCAAATACAAAAGACACAGCCCGTTACACACATTAACAATGCACATACATGTACTTACAATTAATTTGCATTATGTTTTGATACCTTATTAAAAATGTCCTTATTTCCTGATTGTTGATTGAGAATACACACTTTTTGAGCTTTTTCTTTTGCACCATGGATCAGCAAGTGAATCATGCTTGCGTTGTGGCATTTCGTAGTACAGTATGAAAATGCTTCCTGAGGATACAAAATGATCAGTTGCCATTTGTTCAACACTTTCACATATAGGCTGCTAGATGTCCAAAATGCAAATTAAAAAACACTCACCAAAACCTGATTTTCCATTCAGATAAATTTGCAGACCAAAACCAAGCACAAATGGCATTCTGAAGGGGTATGCAAGTCTTATACTATGCATAGACAAGGACAAGCACCAAGAACTCCCAATTACTGTCCTTGCTGGGCTTGAAAAGTTCTACAGATGAAAAGTGTGAGTGTAGCCATTCACTTGAAGTGGATTTGCTTTCCAGTATGTCTAAATTCATTGCATGATGTTTTGACTCAGACACCAAGAAAACTGGGGCACTGGGGTTTTTTTGGCCTTTTAGAAAGATGGCATTGATAATATCAACAAGGGACTTGCCACTGCACACGTGGCAGAATGGCAGGTAACTGCTGGGAGAAAGAGATTGAGGGCAAGAGGGGTGTTACAGGTGTACAGGTGTGCTTAGGACAACAGGGAATGCTGCTGGTACAGTGTCAGAAAGGGCAAGAGCTGCTGCGTGAAAGTTCATGTTGTTTCTTGGACAATGGTGCTGCAGTTCATCAGACAGGCATTAGGTGATCCTGCTTGAGCAGGAGGGTTGGACAAGATGACATCCAGAGATCCCTTACAACCTCAAGTGTTCTGTGCTTCATGATTTTGTAGTAACTGTGGGATGGTAGACCTGTGTTACTACTGACATGTTTGGATGGTTGTTTCTTACCACTATTCTGTCATGCAGCATTTCTTCTGAAATATTTGCCCTTTGAGAAGTGTAGCAGAAATATAGAAGCATAGAATAGCTTGTATCGGAAGGGGCCTTTAAAGACCATCTAGTCCAACACCCCCTGCAATGAGCAGGGACATCTTCAGCTAGATTAGGTTGCTCAGAGAGCAATACAGAGAGGAAGGTTTGGTTTGCTTTCAGTCTGACTTGTGTGAAATCTGCCATTAGTCTGGTGGGCCAGATCACTGATCTGCATCTGGATTGTGGGCTGCTTAATTCTCATATCCCAGTAGGCATCACACTGTCACTTCCCTACCAGGTGATCTAAGGTACCAAAAATTTCCAATGCTATGTGCCAGCCCTTGCTATTACAGGATAGCCTATGAGGAAAGGGTTTCTTTTTTAGACTATAATGACAATTCCCATACCTCGTGAGTTCCCTGGGAATGCAGCCAAATGGTTGAGAAATGCTGCTCTGTATTATTACTTTTCATATGCCGCTACTTTTTGTAGCTCCTTAAAGGATAGATTTTTGCTTTTCACCCTTTATTTTGTGTGCTTCTTTTCTCATTTTGATCACAAAGGGCATCAGTTGTCTATGCTAATGACTGATATGATCCATCTCACGTATTTATAATTCTTGTAGATTGTTTTGCTTTCTCGTTTTGTTTGCTGTACCGAATGTGTTAATTTTAACAATACCTTCCCAGTCACTATTACATGTTTTGTTCAATCTGCACTTTTCAGCAAGGTAAATGTTAACTGTAAGTTACTCTAACAACATCTCTTTCTGAGAAGGTAAGAGAATTATAAAAGCATTTGGAAGAATTAAAGGAGAAATTTTTGTAGTTAATGATTATAAGAAGGAAAAAGTGGTTGAAAACCGATAGTAAAAAGGTTATTAAACATGGAACTCTACAGAGTTATGAGATCTTAGCTAAAATCTGATATCAAAACAAAATGTAACATTTATTAGAACATGTATATTATTAGTTTTGTTTCTCTTCGTAATCATAACTGAAAGGAACTTGTGTCATGCTTGGGATACTCTTGTTCATCAGTATTAATGTACTGATAGTAGGATTACTTAAGGTACAAAACTTTGCTTGTAAACTTAACTATTAAATGAGTTAAAATTTAGTAAAGTAGAATACTAATGTATTTAATAGCAGAAAATATATTTCAAATACTTAAATACAGTTTCTTGGTACATTTAAACTTAGGAATTTTTTTTTATCCCTTAGTGTTCAAGTTCTTTGGTAATATTACTATGGAGAACAAAGTTATATTCCTGAAGTGAAGTAGGTTGTATTCACTCCATATCGATAATCATGTCTTTATGAGATACTTAGAGAGTATGTGCATTACTTAACACATTTTTTTGTTCTTTTAAGAGTAGTTTTTGTTTTTCTATGTGAATGACTGCTGTAGATACAAGTTGTTTTGATGTAAAACAGATGAACACAATTTATGCATGTATGTACTAATTTATAAACTAAAATGTAATATATTTTGAATTTTTTTTGTAAGTAATATTACATTTAAATGAGAAAGGTACTTACATGATTTCTTTTAAAGTAAGACTAGAAATAATTAGATTATCTGCATAAATGGGAAATATCCCTGAAAAGGTCTCAGACATTGCAATGGTTGTAGTGGAGTAAGAACTAATAGGAGGGAATTGAAGCAGTTACAGTTCATTTATTAGTATTGCATATGATATTGTTTTCTAGCCCATCTTTTGTGTAAAATAAAATGTTTCTGGTTTTTTCTTCTGCCACATAAAAGCCATGTTAAAATGTGGTGCTGTTAAAAGTGCATATCTATAATTTGCAACAGATTTTAGGGATAAGTTATTCTTAACTCATCATTATTATTCTAGGCTTAAAAATAGCCTTAAAAATCTGAAGAAATCATAACACAATGAAGAAGGTAAATGTGTTAAGTACCTGCAAAACTTCACATTTGTCATTTTGTCACATAATTGCTACAAAAAAATTTTTTTTTGTCTTACCTAATTAGATTGATTTTTAACTGATTTTTGCACTTTATTGTATTTTGCAGAAACAGATAGGATAGGTATTGCTGGTTGCCCTATGTTTTCATGTCTTTGCTTTTCATGTTTATGCTAGATACCTAGCAAGTTCTGTATGAAATATTCCATTTTGTATGTTAATGTGAAGTATTAATTTGTTTTGCTGTTGTTGACAAATTACTTTTTCTTGGAAGATGATAATTAAAGGTACATGAAATCTGAATTCTTTTTAAAAGTGACAAGCAAAAATGAGTCATACACAAGGGAATTTTGTTAATGGGATTTCTGTCATAACTGTCTGACACGTTCTAGAAAGAGGGCACTTATTTTTGCACTGCTTGTTCTTTTATCAGTAAAAATAAACCCTATATTTTTGAAGTCTCACCATGCCTGAAAGCAGGGTTGTATCTTTAATTATACTTTGGAGAAACTTTGTATGACTTTCTGTGATAGTTTAGATCTAAAATTGAATTGCAAGAATGCACATTAATTTTTTTTAATGTTGACTTCATGTCAGTGCACTGCTTTCCTTAATGGTTTCTGGAAATGTTATGAAAATGACATTTCATGTATTTATTAATTTTGACAAAATGATTCCCAACACAGCTCTTCCAGGACACTTCGTTCGATGATGGCAAATCCTCATTAAGACAGGAAAAGGGATGTTCTCTTGCAACAGGGCTTTGCTGCTCTGTGAAGGTGCAAGTGCATTTGAGAGACTGTAGTCATGTTACATGCAGCTGCATTGAATTGTGGAAGATTAATTTCAAACAGTGCATGGTTTTGTGCCAGATGTCCTGACTCTTAGCGCCCTCTTCAATGTGTGATCAAAAGGGACGTGCATGTATACAGGGGATTAAGTGAGAAATTCTATTAGTTTTTTTTCAGTTGAAGTATATGAAGCAGTGATTGTTGTGAGGAATTTAAACAGAATGTTTGTGCGTATAATAATGAGATACAAAGAAGGTAGCACTAAATGGATTTCTGTGCTTGAAATTGTTCTACTGTTGAGGAAATTGGGATTATTTCTCTGTAATAGGCTCAGTGGTGTCAGCAGTTTCTGTTTATTTATTCTTCCACCAAAAGAGTAAGACGACTCTGTGTCCTTTTCACAGGATGGCGTGCACCACCTACTGAAGCCAGGACAAGTGTACGTTCAGTTTTTGCTCAGAATAGGTTCAGATTTGCACTGGAATGTGTGTTCATTCTTCTTCACGCTAACTTTACATCTGAGTGTCAGAGTGCAACACATTATAGAGACAGGTTGTATTGCAGTATGACTGTAATGTTGTGCTAACAAAAATTTAAGTCATTGCATAGTTCCTGAGATTAGCTCAGCTGGTTAGAGCATGGTGCTAATATCACCAAGGTTACGGGTTTGATCCCCGTACAGGCCATTCACTTAAGAGTTGGACTGCATGACCCTTGTGGGACCCTTCCAACTCAGAATATTCTGTGGGTACTTCATTCCTAGCCTCAGGGAAGATGTCTGCTGTTAGAGATGGTGATTATTTCAACACTACATTTCATGTAGGCTTCCAACTGTTATTTGGGTGTTACGACTTCATCCAGAATCTGAAATAGTGGTCTTTTTGTCAGTAGAGCTCTGAACATTTTACAACATTATCCCTGTTTTGTCTGTACTGAGAGTGAGGCACAGGGAGATATGGGGACATGGAAACCTACAGCAAAGTTCTGGGTGGAGCTCAGAGAATCATGTGCACTGTTCCATGTGCCTCAAAGCAAGGTCAGCTGAGTTTGAACCATTCCTGAGAGATGTTTGTCATCCTCGTTCTTAAGATGTGATGGTGACATGGATTTCACAACCTCTCTGCACACTTTGCTCCAGTAATTAATGATTCTTTTGTGACAAAAGCTTGTTCAAATACCTCATTTAGGTCTTTTGGGGCATACTTTTAGTTCCCTTGGGTCTTATTTTATCTAGCATAACCATGATATACAGATAACTTTTTTCTTTGTGGTGGTTCTGTCGTGCATATTGGAAAACAGTTATTTATTTTCTGAACTGAATTCCAATTTATTTTGATAATTTTTCTCTCTTTTTTGTAGAATCTCTCATACTTTTCAGTGCTGAACTGAACAGTTGCACCTTAAAGCAGACACAGTATGTCCCTCCAGTGGGAGTCTGGGCTACAGATAACTGCTCTGATTCTATGTTTCTCTCTGAGTTGTACATCCAGCTAAGAATAATTTCATTTATTCCATGTTTATGCGTCACTAGGAGAAACATTGTCTTCTGAATCCCATTCAGGGTTTCTTCCAGAAAGCTATTTGGTTTTACATGTTTCCTTTATATTATCTTTTAATTTACATGAAGAAATATGATTTATCTATGTAGAACTCAAGCAATCAACTCAGAGGAATTAATCTATGAGTTTACAGTCTCATCCAAGAAGTAACTTCCTACTTTCTAAGCCCCTGCAAAGACTCACAACTTATTTCCTTACCACCGCAAGAACAAAAATTTTTGGAATGAAGACAGTTTCCATGAAAAATTTATAAGGAAAAATAGTATTCCAGTGAAAACTGTCTGTGACGTAACCGCACTGTAAGACTGAAAAGTCTTTGGGCTCTGTGCATCACCATAAAATGGGAAGAGCAGCAATGTTTTACTTGCAAAGTGCTAAATGACAGTCACTGAAAGCAGACCACATAGGAGTGCCTCCCTCTTCACCTTGGCCGTGCTGCCTTCTCCACTCTCTCCTGGCCAACTCACTGTCTTTCTTCATTGTCCCCCAGCCTGAACAAGCTGTGAAGTGAGTCTCAGTGAGCTAATTTAAAAAATAAAATAAAAATTCCCTTTTTGAAATGTGTTTATGTTTTTAGACAAAGACCTCCTTCCTTTTCCCCTTCTTCCATAACTGTATTTTATGGCAGCTACCCCGTTGCTGGATGTACTGCAAACTGCTGTGGACGGCTAAAGGACCCCCTTGGTATTCAGACAAGATCTTTTTCCTGTCACGATTTTTTTCCTTTCCTGAAAAAAAGGAGAAATTTTCAGACTCTGAGCATGCATTATAGTGAAGGTTCAGGGTATGCAGAGGTCTTCTTTTATTCTGTTGAAAATTATGTATACTGTTGTCTTCTAAGTGCCTGTTTGTTATTATGTGAGTGATCAAACAGGGACACAAGTTCTGCTGTATTTTGTACTGCATTTGGAATAGATATTTTTGGGAATCAGTTCACTTAGCTGTCTGAACAGTGGGAAGAGTTAGGTGTCTCCTTATTTATGGGATTTCTTCTGTAGCTGAGGCACAAGGACTTGCCAGAAGATACTGCCTGCTATCTCCAGCAAATCTTATGGCTTCAGTGAGTGTAGCATCTGCCAAGAATTTACGTATGAGTGAACCAGAAAATTTCTGAGGTTAGCATAGCCATTTCAGTCTTGGTTTTATCAAAAGCTGATTTGTGGATCAAAGAGGAGCAGCTGCTGTGTTTGCTTCAAAATCTATCTAAAAGATTTTCTACTTTTCTTAATTGGAGATTTCTCCATTCAGCTTTAACTGCTTACTTTACAGAATGTTTGTGCAGATTCTGCTAGGTACTGTCCTACTTGTCACATATTACGAATCAATAGAATGCAGTTTCTTTTGCTGTCTGTCCTTGGTACACAGGAATAGCAAATTGTAGCACCAACTACTCTCCTGCATGTGCCAGATGGTGTCTTAGAGAATACGCTGTGGAGCTTTCCTATGCACCATCCTGCAGATTAAGAATGTAACTATTTAACTACTGCAAATCAGCAGAGTGCCACTAAACAGATTGTTCAAACCCAGTTTGCATTAGATGCTATGTGACTCATTGGATAATTAATAAAAATTGCTGTAATATACTTCCTGATGCTTTCCTCAGTGAATTTGCCCTATCTTCTAAATGTCGTAGAAAATGGTTACATGATACTTGTAGTAATGTTGACATATAGTTCCTGAATAGAGAGGAATTTTTTTTCAAGTCATGTTAGAGAACTTAAAAGCCTTGCAATGCAGAGAACACAGTACAAGTAGTCTAAATATATATAAATAATATACAAGATACTGTGTATGTACATCTAAGGTTGCTTTTGAAAAACTGCTGTGCTTTGGAAATAGTTTATGTAGCATAGACTGCATGTGCAAAGAAAATGTTACATGATTTTAGAAGGGCATAGCTGGAAAAGTGAAGTGGGCTTAATATCTGGAACAACGTACTGAACAACTATTATAAAAATACACTACAGGCACATTGGCTTCATGCAGGTAGAAGTAATAATGAATGTAAGATCTGTCTTAAAATTTTTGGTACCTTTAAGATAATACTTTTTGTTTGTGTGATGCTTTTAAAATTTCCATACCTGTCCAGTAGCATAGTTTGGACAGAGCAGTTCTTCTAGTGTGATGTATTACCCTTTATTTCCCAAAGAATGTATCTAGTAGAAACTTGCCTTATTTTCTTGAAAATCTTGTAGAAAGGAAAGGACTGATTTGCATTTGACCAGTTGTGTGTGGTACAATGTGCATTGCTTTTGGAATACAATACTGCAGTGAAGAAGAAAGTATTTTGCATTCATGTTATCTTACTATACCATATATGAAAGCTAATCCTGGGCATGCTAATGACAGTTGTTTAGAAAACAAAACAATAAAGCAAACCTGGAATGTTAGTTTACAAATTAATCTGACAACCATAATGCACGTAGGTAGATTGCTCACCTGTGTGTGTATGCTATTCCTGTTCATGTTGGTGGTCAGGATATTGTAGATTTCCTTGGAAGTAGATGATTTCGCATGGATTTGCTGAGTGCCAGACCAGAGACCAAAACATTCAGTTAAAGTTATTGTCAAAGTTTTCCTTAGTCACCTTTAAGCTTGAAAAATCTTCCTTGAATGTCATACAGTCATTTAATGCTGTTTCTATGATCTTACAAAAATGAATTTTAATTCTGGTATGCAAAGTGAACTGAACCCTCTCAGAACTGAGAGGCACTACTACTTGCTGTCCTTAACTCTGCCCTGCACACACTACTTCCCCTGTCTCAGGAAAGCTTAAGTAGCACTGAGCCTTGTTTTTTTAAATGTTGGCTTCTAATTGCAACCAGTAAAAAAAGCTAAATAACCAAATATTAATTTGGAGATTTCATTACCTCTTGCTCCTTCCTTTCTGTGCTTCAGCATCACCACCCATGAACCGCCAGCTTCAGACCATCATTAATCTTGTCAGATTGTTCTGACAGTAACCATATACATATGTGCATACATTAATCTCCCTCTTGACTTGCTTATGTTCGCCTTCTCTTCCTGCACTAGTGCTACTTGCTTGTGGGTGAGAAAGAGCCAGGCTTTGCTGGGGGATATGTGAAGGACTGTTCTGGGAATATGACGCCCCTCCTTCAGTGCGCTCTTTCTGCATGATGATTTCCAGTGCTGCCAACATTTGAGTACATATGGTAAAGGTTTTAGTTTAATTATAATCAGGTTATTGCTTTTTAAAATAATGAGTTTTATATTTCTTAATAGAAGTAAGCAGATCTGCTTTGAGTTGTCTTTTATTATGATTTTGGAAGTGTGATACGGCAAGGTTTGCATTTCCTTGGTAATTCTGTGGTTTATTGTGTCAAAATATAAACAGGAATGAGTTGTCTTTAAAAAAATAGCATTTAAAGTATGTCCCTGATCACTAATCTTTGTCAGGCGCAATCACAGTATTTTTTTTTTTTTTTGAAGTTCATGATTCAAAAAAGCATTGGGATATAGGCAGGATAAATATTTTTTAAATTATGAATAATATATTTACATTATATTAACTGATGCTGAGAAGTCCACTCAACATTGAGTAATAAAAACACGTCTTTATGTTAATCAGTTTAATGTGAAATAAGAATCAGCAACTTTTTTTTCTGTTTTATGTTGGTTGTTTTTTTGAAGGATGAAGTTGTGCAGACTAAAAAGCAGTGGGTAAGATAGCTGTGTAAACTTATATGTAAGTTAAATGGTCTAATATAAACTCTGTGTGGAATTCTCTGCTTTTCCACTATCCAGCTTTAGGGCAGAACATCTTTGTGTCTTCGTTTTATTTTTGAAGACAAGAACAAAAAAAGGTGTGAATGGTCAGCTGTCTAGCACTTTTCAAAATTTAATAATGTGTTCTTATCTTTGTGTTTCAAAGTAACAGATTCTCTGGCCCAGTCTGTAGTCCACCATTTAAGATGGATAATGCAGAAAGATCTTCTTGGCCAAGATGTCTTTCTTATTGGGCCCCCTGGGCCTCTCCGGCGATCTATTGCCATGCAGTATCTGGTAAGTATGTTGGTTTAAATTCTTGGAGACATAGTTATTAATGTCAGTTAGTCATTCCTATACTAGACAAGTGGTAAAAAGTTAGTCCTAGAAAATCTTACAGCAAGCTACTTAGGAGGTAAATAAGTTTTTCCATAAATGCGCTTTCCAAAGTTCAATTTTTGTTATAGACAGATAGAAAGTACAGACATTGTAATACATGCTTTTCTGCTTAAACTCCAGGGGAAAAAAAAATGAGTTGGAAAACTGTGTTACCATATGCTATCACAAATGGAGAAACAGTTTGTTCTCGGCATTATGTATTTTAGAAGATTAAGATATCTGCCTACTGTTACAGACAACAAATCGTTTTTGCTTCATTACATAAAAAAAGAAACGAAGGAAAAGATTTAGGAGAGAAGTGTTCTGAGTAACATTTGGGAACAGTTACTGTGAGTGATTAAAGTAGATGCATGTATGATCCTCTCTTGGAATGTGGGAAGGACTTGCCTACATCCATCTGCATGGACCATGGGAGCAACATGTACAACATTTCTCAGTTAAAAAATCAGTGCCTTTAAATGATCAAGAGGAGAGGGTTGTTTGCCCCCAAAAGTGATGTGGGTAGGGCTTGGTCTACCATGAACGGTATCTGGTTGGACAGAGGGATCGCAAATGGAGGTGTATAAACAGTTGTCATAAAGATCAGTCATTCCTTTAAAAATCAAAAGATACTAATTCAAATACTAACTCTCAGAGGTAAAGCATAAAAGAGAAAGCTGCAAGATTTGAACTATGCAAAGGAGAGAAAAGATTTCTTAATTCAGCAAACCAGATGTGCTACTCGATAGCTTGATGCATTACTTAAAGTTGAGAAGAGTTTGGTATAACCTAAAAAGAGGACTTAGAAAACACCTGATATCCAGGCATGGGACGTAGAATGTGTCTTGTTATTTATGCCACTGACTTTACACACTTGAGATCTATTAGAAAGGCTGCAGCTTACTGATTCAGTGCCATGCCAAAAAACTATGGGAAGGCTGGTCTTTCCCTGTAAGCTGATATGTGCTGTGGTGCCTTTAATGAAGATACATAAGCCTGGAAAACTTTTATCTGCTGTTACTGAAAGCTTTTACTATGTATTCATATACATAGGGCTAATTGTTGAAAAAACAGTCTGTTTTTTTCCTTTAATTAAAAGAAAGTGCAATTTTATCTACCTGCAACATAAAGGACTTGGTGGCTTTGTAACCAATAGGTACTGAGAAAGTGGAAAGGAAATAATTTTCATAGAGTTTCATATCTTTGCTTTATTCTTTTCATACAACTATAGTTAAAAGATGCCTCATAAGAAAGTTCTGTTAAATCAATGGTACCTTTAATTGAGGAGTAAGGACTAAGAGCATCATGAGTCCATTTCCTAAGCAGAATGCATGATAACCCAGATATGGAAATAGCAGGAATATCAGTTAAATAAATATCAATTAAAAAAACATGTGTTTTTTTATTTTTATTCATGATTTGCAGATGTTGATTGTTTTTCAGGGTCCAGAACCAGAAGATTAACTTAAAGAATTTTACAGATGTACAATGGAAAGAATATGTAGCTGGTTATTTTGGTTTTGAGGAAAACAAAAGTTTATTGAGCAGAAATTAAAACCATTTTGTTTGAGACAGAACACACTGTAAACATTTTAAAAATAAGAGATATTAGATTTTTTCAGAGTTATTTCAAATGAGTGTGCTGCTGCCTAGAGCTCTTTTGTACAAATATACCATTAGGCCTATTCGTAAAGTTTACTTACTGAGGTTATAGTCTTACTTTTGTAATAACTTTAATCTATTGTCCACAGGAGCTAACAAAGCGGGAGGTTGAATATATTGCACTGTCGAGGGACACCACAGAAACTGACCTCAAACAACGACGAGAGATCCGAGATGGTAGTGCTTTTTATCTTGATCAGGCAAGTTGCACTCAGGCACCACCTGACAGTTGTTTACAAGTAGTTTGAAGGAAGTAATGGTTTATATGATGAAAAATTAATATGTGGATTGACATGTTTCTAATGCAAGTAGAAAGTGTCTTGCACTCTTGATCTCATGATTATCAAAAATGTTGTCTCTACCCAAATCCAAGATTACTCCGTCTCTTAAGAGTACTACAAGGTTGGTTTAGGCAGACTATTTTTGATATGCTTCTGTAACAACAAGTAAGATCTATTCTGTGCAAGTTAGATCAGCACTACTCTTGGTACGTCTCTTCCCTAATACTTGTAGTACATTGGATGTATTTCTGAGATGAATCTTCCGATCTAGTTTCATTGCAAAAGAGTCTAGTTCATGTGTTTCAAAACTGCTCTGTGTTTTGAAACCCAAGCACAGTAAATGGAGGCAACTGGGGGATGTGGTTTGAAAGCTCACTGCTGATGTGGACTAAAATAATGGTTTAAACACTCCTGTCATCAGTATTGCCCCAGATCAGTAGCTGATTTAGTACAACCATAGAGTGACTCGGGTTAGGTAGTTTCTCTTCATAAGTTATCAATGGCATGTTTCCCTTCTGATTATGCAAGTAAAATACACTTCTGTCTCAGTTTAAAGAGACTGAAGTGTTTTGCTAAGGAGGATGAGTTATGAGGTAGACCAAACTCTTCTCTCTCAGCAATTGTAAATCCAAAATTAAGAGGCTCCAATCGAGGAAGTATGGAAAAAGGAAGAAATAATAACCCTTTATTAAAGGATATATCTATATTGGCAAAAACAGTAACAGAACACAAAAACAACTAAGCAATAATCCTGTACCCAAAAGTCCCCTTCAAAAAGGAAACAGTCTGATACTTCTCTGTCCTCTAGCGCGATTCTAATCACGGTCGACAGGGGACGCTGTTGGATCGATGGAGGAGCAGAGCCTGCAGTGCTCGGTGTTGGTCAGCAGGGGGCGCTGTTGGGCTCTGTCGGTCACCGCGAGGAGAAGCCGAAATGGAGATCTCCCCCCCACCGAGGAGGGGAAGGGGAGAAGGGGAAAGAAGGGCACTTTCTTTCCCACGAAACTCACATTGTCTGCGGCTGGCTGCGGTCGGGACTCCCCCCTTTCCTTGACGAGCACAAACTCTCTGATGAATTCTGAGCAGATTTGGGCTGGAGACAGGGCAGCCCGCAGGCAAGCCGAGGCTGGAGAGCAGCCAGATGACCAGGTCGAGAGCAAAACGGCCTTCAAGCTTGTCCAACACACACACACACACCTTGCCTTGTTAAGGCAAAAAGTGAAGTGTCCCCCATTTGTAAGGAGAGGAGAAAAACTCCTCCCCTCTCCCTGCAGTTTTTTAGAAGGGCTATTAGCTGGGAATGCAGGTCTGCCAACTAGTTCTTTTGTATAGTTAATTACCCCTCCTCGTTCAACCTCCTTCTCTTACAGTGGGACAGGGGAAAGGAAAATTTCTGCGTGGATTTTTAGAACAAGTAAACCTATGACAACTTCATATGAAATGTCTGTTTTCCTAGATACCTAAAATTTTTACACAGATTAGACTTCTAATTATATAAGGTGGGTGAATTCCTCTGATGTAGTATGAACTTAAATGTGTTATCAAAAACAGTTCTCAGTTGGTGATGCTGTAGAGGTTGATGATATCACCATCATACAAGTGTTTTGTGAGAGAAAAGATAACCTGAAAGCTCTGTTCTCTGTTTTAAAGAAACATTTTCCCTTTTTTTTTCCTTAAATTCCCAACGATCTCTTTTTCAGCCTCCAGACTTCCAAGAAACCTTTAAACAGACTTTGTTGAAACCACGATATATGACTTTGAGCAATGGAAGATCTTCAGAATGAAGAATTAATTGCTAATCGAAATATATATTTTTTTTAGTTATTTCTAGGAGTTCAGATTATCTCGTGCTTCTCTGGAAATGTGAGGATTGCACAATATGAGATAATTTGAAGTATTTACTGTGGATTAAGGCTGTGGCTTCTCATTTACCAGAGGATAAGAGCATTTGTGTAGGTTGCGGGATTAACTCCTCAACTCATGTTAGCTCCATGCCTATTTGCTGTTATAGACAGCCTTATCCTCACACTTGCTATAGGATAGTCAAGGTAATTTAGTGTAAGAGCATTAATTAACTAACATTTGTAAGGGCCACTAGGGCTGTACTGGGGACTGTAAGAAGCTCACCAAAATTCGAGATGGTCTCCTAACCCTGTATTTGTCTGTAGACATTGATCCCAATGCAAGTATGAGACAGCTTGCTTCACTTTGTACAAGCTGTTTCGTGTTCTCACTCCAGTAAGAACACTCTAGGAAGATTAGCTTTACAGAGTAAAGGTCTAAGATTACCATCTTCCTCAATGAGTTAGAAATTTTCAGTTAAAAGGTTCTAACCAGAATCCAACACACTGGTACTCCAGACCAAGACTTTCCTTTAGCAAGATACCATAGTACTAAAATCAGTTGGAATCGTGATGTCTTTACTCAGCTCATGTTTTACTCATTGTATTTGTAGCCAATGTATGTTTAAGCTCTGAACGGAAAATAAGAAAATAAATAATTGGTATTTAGATGAACACTTAAAATATTTGAAACATGGTGTTCCAGCTGAAGTTTTCTCACCCTACATTTTAGGTAAAGATACATAAAATATGGTACATACTTGTGTTTAGAACCATCATAGATCTAATTATTCCATTTTATTATTGAGCTGTAAAGTTTTACAGGTTACATTGGTGCCTGAATTTTAGTTAGTTCATTTAATGACTTTGAGATTTGCAGATAGCTTTACCAATTCAAAACATTAGAAAAGCCGGACACTACTCTTCTTTAAACCACAGACCATGAACTGTTTGAAGATAGAGAAAGGCATCAGTAGGTAACCTTAACAAAATATTCCCTATAGAGCTTGGATTGCTCCAAGTGGCATAGCTGAGCTAAAGAGAAGGTGAACTCATGTGAGAGACTGAAGATACTAGGCTCCGCTTTTCAGATTTATATACTGTTTCCTTCCTGTGGAATCTCATGCTTGCTCTTCATGACACCCAAGAGAAGACAGCAAAGTTTGAAAGTCTGGTTTCCAGAACATGCTCTGTATGAATTCTGTGGGTTGAATAAAACTTAGCTGTTGTTTAAGATAGATGAGGCTCTTTGTATGCAAGTCTTAACATAGTACTGTAGTTTACACTTTGAATAATAATGTACGGTAATGAAACCTGGCATCTTGTGACCAGAAAGAACTTTAGTCTAGTGAATCATCAAGTTCGCAGACCCAGAGAAGTTTGCAAAGTTTTCTGAGTGATTGTTAAGATATTACGGTTGTTTATAGCTCTACCTTTAATAGTGACAGATTAAATGCTCTAAATTTTTATCTCAGAGGTTTCCAAACATCTGCTATATTTTAACATGAAGTTACTGAACATAATTGCAGTTAGTTATTTTAAATAGATTTGAAAGGCAGCGATTGGGAAGCAGTTACTGAAATTCTGTATTGAAACGTATATTGAAGGGCCAGCGTATCAAATATTCTTGCATATTAGCGTTTCTTAGTACTAAAATGAATCAAATGGGAGATTTGGAGTTAGGTAGGTGACAGACATATCTGAAAAAGGGTTTATTTACCTCAGGAATAGGAGACCATTAAAAGAAAGGTAAACATTGAATTGGTAAATTCATTCCCTATTAAACTAATGTAAAATAAAGAATTTATAATGGGGTAATTGTGAATTATTTGTTTTAATTCAAGTACTGACAGCAGAAAATTCTGTTTTCTAGTCTTTACCTTGGGCCATTAATTTTGGCTTTCATCTGTAATTCACTGTTAAAAGCCTCAAAAGTGTCATTATTGCTGTTACTGAGCTAATTAAGTAACCTCTTGATTTTATTCTGTAATTTATTGCATGGGTTAATTATGTTGTATATCAAGCAATTGGTTAAAATTACTTTATATTGCATAAATATTTAAATGACACCTTCTAATTTTGCTTTTATTGATAGAAGAACTTGTCTTGCAGAGTGCTTTTCTGCTTCTGTAACTCTTTATAGTTGAGCTGTCAACTTCATTGAACCAGTATGAAGATTCCAATATCAACCTATTGTATTTTCAAAAATTAAGGAATTAGATTTGATATTTTTTGTCTTTTTTTTTTCCTGATGTGATTTTACTTTTTATTGTGTGTGTAAAGGTATAAAAGGCACATCTCTGGTTTACACTCTTATTAGTACAGCCTTCTGCATTAGTAATTATTACATCTAAGGAAATCCTACATTATTTTAGTGTAATAGATGCATTTGGGAGAGCAGCTAAGCCATTTTATTACTGCTTGAGAGGTGTATTGCTCCAGGATTGTGTCACAAACCATGTTGTCTGAAATGCCCAGTTTTGTTTACCCTGTAACTTCCAGCTTTTGCATAAAATGAAGCAAGCTTCCTAAACAAAAACCACTTAATGAAGTGCACAGCCTTTTCTGTTCAAGACAATCAAATTAACTGAGGTTGGAATAAGTATATAGATGTCATATAATTATGTGCTGAAAAATTACAAATTCAATGTCATGGTTTTGAAGATTTGCAGATTAAGCTGTATCCACTGAGTGGATGATATATATGTATATCACTGTCATTTCTGCATATACAGAATTAGACTGTTTTGGAGTATCTTTGAACTATGTGAATATTCATTTTAATACAATAATTTTACATCCCTAACTGCACCAGCATCATAAGTTACACGATAAAATATAAAATTGATTGTCAAGATACCAGAAAAATAATCTTCTAAGAAGGCTTGGAAGACTTCTTGTAGCAAACAATTAAATACCCAGAGTGACAGAAATGACAGCTTAAACTATCCTGTCTGTAAAATGAACATGGCATGAAATCCCCTGGAGGTAGCACTGAACAGACTCAAGTTTGGTTTCCTTTAATCAAAGCAGATTAGAACGGGAACTATAAAATCAGACATGAGAATAATTGAATGA